CCCCAGCACATTAAAAAAAAAAAAAAAAAAAAAAAAACTAAATAAAGGTATTATGTCCATCTACAACTAAAAATATTTAAAAAATAAAATAAGGGGCTGAGGTTCTGGCTTAGAGGCAGAGCGGCTTCCCTAGCATGTTCAACTCTCAGCACCACATATAAATAAATAAAATAAAGGTCCATTGACAACAAAAAAATATTTTAAAAAATGTCTTTCTAACCCTTGGAGTATATATTGTCATCTAAATATCATTCTAAGTTTGTTATTATTTATGTTTCATAGGTAAGCCTTTGATTCTTTTGGAAAATGATGAAAATGCAGTTCCAACTTTATTTTTTCACATCTATGAGTTTTGTCAGCAATCAAAAAAATAGGTAAGTACAGTATTCCTGACAATACTTGCCTCTTAAAAAAACAGACATGACTTCAATCTCCTCCTTTAACATGGTTTTTGCACTATCCTTAGAATAAAGAGCACATCTGGTCCCTGTAACCTCTCCAGCATCATTGAGCACTACTCTCTCTCTCATTCTGTGGTCTGGTCACACTGACCTTCTCCCTGGTCCTCAAACTTAGTGATCTTTCTTGCCAGTGGCCTTTATAAAAAGCTTCATTCTCCCATGCAAGTTCACTTGCTCTTCTACCACCAACCCCTGGCAAGTCTGTTTAAACATCTTTAGGGAACCTTTCCTAGATCCACTCTTCTGCCCCCATACTGTTTCCTCCAAGCCCCTCCCAGAGTTCCTTATAGCAGTTGGTACACTTAGAATTACCAACTATTTGCTTATTATCATCTTCCCCTTATATAGTTAAAGCTCCACAAAGACAAAAAACATTTCTGTTTTGTTCACTACTATACTCCTGTACATCTCATTAAATGGCTCAAGTAATATTAATCACAAAGAAATCAGTACGAAAATCATAACACAAGGGCTGGGACTCAATGGTAGCACACCTGCCTGGCATGTGTGAGGCACTGGGTTCAATTCTCAGCACATATAAATAAATAAAGGTCTATCAACAACTAAAAAATAAACATATTTTTAAAAAAACACAACAGAAGCATCATAAACCAGCAATGGAAAATTTAGAAGAGATACAACATGGTCCATATACTAAAAATTAATGAAATAAAAAGATAAAATATTTTCCTACTAAAAATTGCCCCAAAAAAAGGTCACTATTGGTAAAAATAAATTGCTTTAACCTTTTAGAAAACAAAATGATATATCTTTGACCAAGCAATTTCAGGAACACCATAAAACTAATTAAAGATATGTACAACTTTCTCTGCAGCATTGTATCCAAAAGGAAAAGACAAACCAAAGGGCAATAATCGAGTTTTATGTAAATAAATTGCCATTTATTCCTTCAGTGTTATAATTATGAAAATTTAAGATACATTAAGCTTAATAAAAGTTGTATTCATGTATAAAATCATTAATAAATCTCTCATAATGAAAAGCATAAAAATATCGATGACAGTGGATTAATATATTTAGAAAAATCTAAGAGAAATACACCAAATTGCTCTCTGGGAATTGTCATTTCTATCTGTCATTCTGAAATGTTTGATAATTGTAACTAGAAGCAAAAAATACTCTTGTAATCAGAGAGAGAAAATGTGTTTTAAGTGTCATCTGAACTGATATTTATGTCAAAAGTTCTCAATTTGGGGGCCAGGGATGTAGTTCAGTGGTAAATATGTGCTTAGCAGTTTTGGTACTAATTCAAACCCAACACCAAAAAAAGAAAAGTTCTCTCTTTTAAAAAACAGATGGGCTAGGAATGGTGGCACACACCTGTTATCTCAGTGACTCAGGAGGCTGAGGCAGGAGGATCAGAAGTTAAAGGTCAGCCTCAGCAATTTAGTGAAGCCCTAAGCAACTTAGCAATCCCTGTTTGAAAATATAAAATCAGAAAAGCTGGGGATATGACTTAGTGGTTAGGTACCCCTGTGTATGTATACACACACACACACACACACACACACATATATAATTTCTAAATTTTTATATATAATTTATATATATTTGTTTATTTTATAAATATTTATTTATATTGATGTAGCTCAGTGGTACAGCAACAGCATGACTGAGGCCCTGGGTTCTAACACCAATATTTATAAATAAATTTTAAAAAGCATAAACATACACTTTAGACAGATCTCCAAAACTGATGGTCAGTAAAAATGATGTTCATTTCAAGTTGATAAAAGTACTAGTTTCTAAACTTAGTGTACCCCTTGAAAAACAATCAGAATCAAGGAAGAAAATCTAAAATACTAGATTGAGACTGTTTACTTGATAGCTAAATGCTCAAAACAACATTTATTTCACTGATATTTCTTAAGTTTATTTTTTACACATTAGTTCCAATAGTATACAGTGTACAAAATAATAAAACATTTTAAAACAGTCACCTTGAAATTCAGAGTTTTTGAGTACATGTCTCAAAAACTAATGTTATCTCATTCTACAACCAAAAATGGTACTTAAAAATACTTCTCATTCTGATAGAAAAAAATCTAAGTATACTCCACTATGAAAGCAAAACAGACTCAGCAATATTGGGGTTTTCCATACCTCTCTAGAAAAGGGAAATTAAGAGTTAATATTATTTAACAATTTTTGTACTAGGCACTGGCTTGTACCACTTGGTGCCCTCTATCCATAGAATCTAAGACAAACTACCCAAACAGCTCTGAAGAGAATGGACATTTCAACTAGGGACTGTGAGATGAATTTTGTTTTGAATTTAAAGGGTTTTTTCCCCTTTTCTATATTGCTTTGAATTTCCTTAATGAAGGAATAAATTACACCTTTTTAAATAGGTAATAAAATATACCCACAGCACTCATATATTCTGTACAGGGGAATTTAAACTGCAAATGTGAAGCACAATAATACTCTATTTTTTTTAAATATACTTTTTTGAGAGAGAGAGAGAGAATTTTTTAATATTTATTCTCTAGTTTTCGGCGGACACAACATCTTTGTTTGTATGTGATGCTGAGGATTGAACCCGGGCTGCACGCTACCGCTTGAGCCACACCCCCAGCCCACAATAATACTCTATAATCAAAAACTTTAATTTAGCATTAGGTAACAAACATGCTGTATTTCTTTTATCTGATAGGTTTTATCTAAAACATTCTGAAATATAACTATGAAATATAACTGTGGATTAAAATTAAATTGTTGCTTTCAAAAAACATCAGAAAGGGGCTGGAGTTGTAACTCAGTGGCAGAGCGCTTGCCTAGCACATGTGAGGCACTAGGTTCGATCCTCGGCACCACATAATGAATAAATAAATGAAATTAAAAAAAAAAAACTTTAAACCTGCGCAGGTTATTAATCTGGTACTTCCAATTCTTAAACTTAAAGAAATAAACATATGGGGGCCAGGGTTGTGGTCTAGTGGTAGAGCGCTCGTCTAGCATGCGTGAGGCACTGGGTTCAATCCCGGGACCACATAAAAATAAACAAAGGTATTATGTCCATCTATAACTAATAAAAAAAGAAATAAACATATGTTCAGAAGGGATACACTATTTTTCTGTAATGGCAAAAACAAATATTAAGTGGATTTAGTTTCTTTTTAGCACAATATGACATCATCAAAATTAGTACACAGGGCTGGGGTTGTGGCTCAGGGGTAGAGTGCTCATCTAGCACATGCAAAGCCCTGGGTTCGATCCTCAGCATCACATAAAAATAAACAAATAAAATAAATGTATAAAAAAAATTAATACACAGGGTTGGGTTGTAGCTCAGTGGTAGAGAACTTGCCTCGTATGGTGAGGCATGGGGTTCGATCCTCAACACCACATAAAAGTATTATACCCATCTACGACTAAAAATACTTTTTTTAAAAAGTAGTGCATGTTTTGAAAGCATATCTAGAACAGTCCATTTCATTTCACCCCACTAAAATTAAGCACACTGAGAGCAAGAACTTTATTTTTTTATTCCTAGCACTTAGTACAATGCTTGGCATATGGTAGCCACTCAAAAATTTGCAAAAATGAATGAATTTGAATAATGTAAATGAATACAGAAAAGTTTTTAACTAGAAGTAAAAATAACAGAATCACATAATATATCCATTTGCTTTACTGGAATTCAACTGTAAAACCAAGCAAAACAAACGAAATGTAAATCATGCATACGGATCAGCCCTAGAGTGGAGAGAAAACCTGAATCTGCAGTTCTCTCCTTATGTCTGTCTTCATAGCTCTCACACAGTGGACACCACAGTAGCCACGTGTGATTTAAGTTATATAAAAGAAAAAAATTTAAACATAATATGGACCAACTAATTGAACTGGCATACTACCCAGAACACAGTACTTTTCTCCAAAGCTGGCCTCTTAAAAGGACTTCCAAGAATAATTCTGACAACAGAAAAATTTCACCTTAGAAGATGACTAGAACACAGCTTTCCCACATACAAATACAATGCAATTCTATTTTATGCCATGTTGACAACTATAGCTGTACCTGAGAAACATGCACAGTGTTCTTGTTTTTATTCATTTTATTCTTTAATATTTCTTTTATGATTTACAAATGTTGTTTTCATAACTTAGCAAGACCCTGTCTTAAAATAAAAAATAAGAAAGTATTGGGGATGTGGTTCACTGGTTTAGCACCCCTGATTTCAATCCCTGGTACCAAAAAAAAAGAAAAGTAAAACATTCTATTAAGTTTTTACATAGCCCACAAAAGTCCTTTTCACATTTATCATGGAAATGCTATATCTGATGTCAGTACTCCTATACTTGACCTAAAACAAAACTACCCCTATGGTATATTTTTAATTGTTAATAAATTTACTCACACAACACTTTTTAGCCTACTGCTATATGCTACCTTAACAATTTAACTAATAAACATGCCATTCATACTGTATCTTTTCAAAAAGAACTGACAATTTTTAATTAAAATTTACTTAAATATATATGAAATAGAAAAAACAATAATCCAAAATAAGTTACCTGAACATCATAGAGTGCTACAATATTTTCGTGCTGAAGTTCCTGTTAAGGAAATTGAGAAATAAATAAAGATCCTAGTAATTTTAATATATTTCAGTGTGTAAATACAAATTAAAGTATACATATACATATGTTCTAGTATATCACACCTTTATTAATAGCCTGGAATAATTCAATTTATTACAACAAAATAATATGTCTGACCAAACTTTATTTGGGATCTAAATATTTTCTTTACCATAATATTTTTGGATTTCTAATAAAGTGAGTACTCTCCTTTACAAAGCAAATGTTACTTAAATAGAGCCAAAGACTTTCTACTACTTTTTTCTAGTTTTCTAAATTTGATATTCTTTGTAATGGCAATAGAGATAAAATTCCAAAGTGCTTTTAAAAAGCATATTATAAGCTTGCAAGAAAACAAACTATAATTCTTAGCCCAAAGAACTGAAACTCTTTCCAAAGAACTCTCAGCAGGATAATTATGAGGAAAGCTGGTGAGTATTGGGTGAAGGTTCCATGCTCATTTTAGTTTGGGAAACACTGGGTTAAGTACACTGAAACTGGTAAGATTTTTCACTTTAATGAGCCAAGTGTTTTGTCACTGCCCAAATATTTAGTAAACAGGATTTTCCAAATTTATTTAACCATGGAACCCTTTTTTCCTCAAAGCCTCTCCCTTGGATTATACTGGCTGTAAATCATCTAAAAAAAAACCACCTCTAAGGAAAATAACTTTCTTCAATTTATAAGGAAAGAAAAAAGACCCCAAGAGTCCCCACTATTCCCCAAAATTTAATTATATGTGTAAGAGGTCAACATTAGAAGAAAACAATGTATCAGATGAGACTGCCTGGCCCTTTTCTCAAACAGTAACACAATAACTAGAAAAAAGAAATTTGAGAAGCTAAAATCAGTCTTCACAGAATCCCTGTAAGTCTGGCCAAGAACCACAAGTATCTATTTTTTAAAAATTATTATTAGTTCTAATTAGTTATACATAACAGAAAAATACATTTCAGTTCCTAAAAACCGCCTCAGAAAGTCAGGAGCTCTGGGGCACACCAGTAATCTCAGTGGCTCTGGAGGCTGAAGCAGGAGGATTTCAAACTCAAAAATCAGCCTCAACAATTTATCCAGGTTCTAAGCATCTTAACAAGACCTTGTCTCAATAAAAATAAAAATAAATAAAAATTAAAAGGCCTGGGACCATGTTTTAGTGTTCAAATACCCCTGGGTTCAATCTCTGGAACCAAAAACAAACAACAACAACAACAAAAAAAAAAAAAAACAGCTTCAGAGCAAAAAACTGATCATGCAAAAATGAGCAGCAGCTGAATTCTCAAACTTGGGCTCAATCACCAAAATGGCAAAGAATGTCATTACATATTCATTAAATTTAGAATAGTCTTTAACCTAGAATATTACACTGCATAAAAGTAACATACCTTTAAGATTTTAATTTCCTTTCCAAGCAGTATTTGTGATTTTGACAAGTTCTTTTTATTAATACTTTTAATAGCTACCTCCCAATCAGTTTTCTGAAAAGAAAAACAATGTCACTCTTGGAAAGTATTACATAGAAACAACTCAACAGAAAAAAAATCTATAAGCACAAAGATCCTTTTAACAAATAAATGTATGGCACTTGGGAAAATGAAAAAGAACCTCAATCTCAACAAGAAAATGGTCTCATAAATTATATTTTAACAAGCCAATGTCCTACAACACAGCTACTAAAAACAGCAAATATGAAGTCCAAAACAGGAACTGGCATCAAATGAAAAAATACAGTTTACAACCACCTAAGAATTATGGATAAATGTGTTTACAAATTTGGAAAGTGATATGGCTAACAGAAAACAGTATGTTAGCTTGACTAGCTTATAGGTGTTTTAATTTTTTTTTCTTGAGTTTTTCCTTACTTTCATAACAAATGAAAAGTAAGACAGCCCACTTCTAACATGCCCCTTGGCAACTATCACAACAGTCCAAGCCTTTATAATTTCCACCACTCCCAATGTGCCTTCCCAAATTCTTTAGATTCTAAAACCTCATGTGACCTTTCTTGCGAAACAGCAAAGGCTTTTAAAGAATCTCAAAGGCTTGAAGATGCGTTCTTCTTTATTTTCATTATAAATGAAGCGTCCAACTATCTTTTCCACTCGGGGCCCTTCTAACCAGGAGGGGAAGATAGTATGGAGCTCCTCGGGGTGTAGAGGAACAAATGCTGGGAAAAGTAATACTTCCCAGTTTGAGAAAGCCTCAGGCGGGAAACCCGCCCATTTTCCGCTGGGTCTGCAATTACCAACCTCAAAGGTGACAAGTCCCGGCAACCCAGGGCTGGAGCTGCGAGGGACCAAAGGTCCATGATTGAGCCTCCAGAGATGCAAGGAACAGTGCTATCATTTGGGTTAACTTCAGGTGGAAAAGCTTGCCTGGGCGGCTTACGGGGTCGAAACCCTAAGCGCACTACTGACTAGGAGGGGACATCAATGACCCGGCGCCCGTCGGTAGGTGGAGCGCTGCCTAGAGGGAGGCTCCGGCCTCAAAACAATCCTCGCACTACCAAAACAAACCCCGCGACACTGACAGCGCGCACAATGGCAGGCCCCAGGCGGCAAGCCATGATAGGGGGACCTCGATTCCTGCGGCTTGGTCAAGTTTCAGGACCCCTCAGTCGGGCTGCGGCCCAGGGGTCCCGGCCTCGTCCTGGCCAGCTGGGCAGGCAGCGCTCACCTGGCGGTGCCGCCCCCGGAAAACCACGGCGAAGGCCCCGTGTCCCACGAGGTCCCTCTTGCTGTACTCGAAGTCGCCCACCACCTCCATGGCCGCGCCCGGGGGGCATACAGCGGGAGGGCAGGCGGCGCGACGAGCCGGGATCAGCACCGCGGGCTCGCGAACCCCAAGCGCGCCCGCGGGCAGCGGGACTGGGGCAGCCGCGGCCCCAGGCCCGGGCGGACACTCATGCCGTAAGGCCGGAGCGGAAATGGGGGAGGCCGCCGCGCGGAGCCGAGGTCAGCGAGGCCTGGCCCGGCCCCGGACGCTCCTCGTGGCCCGGCCCGCCGCGAGCTCTTTGGCGAAGCGGCCTCGGCGATGCCGGGCCAGGGGCGCCGTCGCCGTCACTGTGCGACTCCGGAGTCGCACACGCACCCGAAAGAGGTGCGGCACCCGGTCCTCCCCATCCCCAGCTTGCTCGGCCGCCAAGGCCCTCTCCGCCCGGGGCGCTGCTGCTGTGGCAGCCGCCGCCCTAAAACCCGCACAGCCGCTGTCCTTTCGTTTCCCCGCCTCGCGGTAGCGCCCAACGCACACGAACTGGGACGCCGGCCGCTCCGATGCCGACTGCCGGCCCTCCGCGACGTAAGCACGTCTTGTAGGACGCAGCACGCGGCAATGCCCGCTCCTTCCGCTGAGAAAAGGAGTTCGTGCATCTGGGCGCGGCGCCCTCAGCCAAAGCAAATCCAGAGGCACTGAGGCAAGGAAGGTGCGGGCTCGCGCGGCCAGAGGTAGTTACCCGCTGCAGGCTCGGAGCTGGCGCTGGGAGCCGATTAGAGCTGGCCACGCCCTGGCTTTGAGTCCGCTTGCCAGGAAGCGGGCTTCAGAGAAACCCGTATTCAACACCATTTGCAGGCAGGACGGGGGTATTGCTTGTGCAGTGTAGACCCCCAGGAGTCCAGGGAGGGCAAAGGAGCAATTCTCAGAACCCGGGCTTTCCCTTGACCTCTCAAACCAGAATACGTACTGCAGACTTGCTCCCACCCTTCTTAGGCTTTGCTCTCTCCGGGTCTCTAAAGGGATTCTGTCCTGCAGGGATTCCTCACGTTTTGGGGGCTCCCTGGCCTCTGTGCAAAGCTGATGACAGTGCAGGAAGCCCTTCTCAGAGAAATGCTTATGCCCGCAGAGGTAATATTGTACATATTTGTATGGTCTGTCCTAGGCAAGTGACCTGCAAGTTTGACCTCGGGTTTACCTTTGACGGCTTTAAGGAAAATTTCTTTTTTTTTTTTAATGCTTTTACTTTGTTTGTTTATTATTATTTTTTTAATGTGGTGCCTGGGAATCGAACCCAGTGCCTCATGCATGCTAGGCAAGGGCTCTACCACAGAGCCACAACCCCAGCCCCTTTAAGGAAAATTTCTTTTTTTTTTTTAATGCTTTTACTTTGTTTGTTTATTATTATTTTTTTAATGTGGTGCCTGGGAATCGAACCCAGTGCCTCATGCATGCTAGGCAAGGGCTCTACCACAGAGCCACAACCCCAGCCCCTTTAAGGAAAATTTCTTTTGTACCTAATTATTAAGGTTGTTCAAGTAACAAGGAGCTTCTTTGTCAACTTCGAGGAAGTCTTTCATGAAACCATTTTATAAACAATACGCTTGAAAATGACAAAGAAAACTCAGGCCCCTAAAAACTCAACGTGTTTTTAGGGCTTTTGCTTTCCTGTTATCTCTTACCACCTCAATAACATTGCCTATCCCTGCACTCCCAACTCCGAAGGCCAAGCAAGGACCCTAAAAAATTCCAGCCTTATAGCAATCAATTCAGAATTCCAAGAGAAACCTCTGTTTTCACTCCATTTTCTGTTTCTAGTAACACAATACCACAAACTGAGTAAGTAGGTTAGTCAATTTTCCATTGCTATTACAAAATACCTGAGGCTGGATCCTTTATAAAGAAAATAGGTTTATTTAGCTCACAAAGAGCTAAATATTTGGCTGAAAGTCCAAAGTGTGTAGCACCAGCTCTGGTAAAAGCCTCCTGGCAAATTGCATCATGATGGGAGTGGTGGGAGATGGCGAGATCACATGATGAAGCCAAAGAGTGGGAAGAAGCCAGTTTTGTTCTTTTGTAATGATTCACTCTGGAGAAAACTACCTAGGATCCCAGAACTATATTAACCCCTTCTGAGGGTGGCACCGCTAACGGCCTCTCACTAGGATCCACCTCTTAAACATGTCTCACCACCTCAACACCACCACATTAAGAGCCAAGCTTCCAGCACATGAAACTGTGGGGGGCTAAGATCCAACCATATCCAAACCATAATCAGCAAGTCATAAAGAAAAAAAGATTTACACTGATTCACAGTTCTTGCCTCAAATTGAGGGGACACATCTGGCAATGACTTTCTTGCTGAAGAGTCACATGGTAGCACGTGTCATTACAATAGAAGAAACAGGGAGCAAGAGAGGAACCTAGCCAAACTGGCTCCCCTTCTTCCCTCACTACCCCCAGCAATCCTGGGGATCCAACACAGGGTCTCATGTATGCTAAGCAGGTGCTTTACCCCTGAACTACATCCCCTGCCCCAATCTGGTTTATATAGCAGACTCACTCTCAAAGCAACCCATTAATCTACTCATGGTATGCACAGGTTAACCCATTAATGAAAGCAGAACCACAATTACCTGTGAGAAGTCCTGTATCTTTTTTTCTTTATTTTTTTATTTTTATTTTTTTAGTTGTCAATGGACTTTTATTTATTTATTTATATGCAGTGCTGAGATTCTAACCCAGTCCCTCACATGTGCTAGGCAAGTCCTCTACTACTGAGCTACAACCCCAGCCCAGGTCCTGTTTCTTAACATCTCATGATGGGGATTAAATTTCAATATGAGTTTTGGAAGAAGCAAACCATATTTAAACCACCTTCCTCACACCCTCAAAATGTAAGGGCTTGGGGCTTCTGTCCCCACCACTGTGCACATTCACATAATTGATCTCTACTTCAAAATCTGGCCTTGGTGGTTGTGTTAGACTCTGAACCTCTGGAGCCTTCAAATTGAGAACAGCCACAACCTCATTGGATTATTAAGGGGAGTAACTGAGCTAAAAGTAAAAATAATGACAATGATGATGATGATAAATGAGCTAAAAGTGTAAAGTGATCAGATCATCTCCTGGCACAAATAAAGAACTATTGAAGTCTTGGTTAAGTATAGTGAAATCAGGGCTGGGGCTGGGGCTCAGCGGTAGAGCACTCACTCGCCTAGCACGTGCAAGGCCCTGGGTTCGATCCTCAGCACCACATAAAAATAAATAAGTGAAATACAGGTATTGTGTACAACTAAAAAAAAATAAAATATTTTWAAAAAATATAGTGAGGGCTGGGGATGTGGCTCAAGCCGTAGCGCGCTCGCCTGGCATGCGTGGGGCCCGGGTTCCATCCTCAGCACCACATACAAACAAAGATGTTGTGTCCGCCGAAAACTAAAAAAAAATAAATAAATAAATAATAAAATAAAAAAATAAATAAAATAAAAAATATAGGGAAATCAAAGCTACTCCGAGGCAAGCTTTGATTTCTATATATATATATATATATATATTTTTTTTTAATTAAAAATATTATCTAAATATTTTTAGACCTTCAGGATCCCATGTCCACTCTTCTCCATCTACTCCCCAGGTGATTTACAAGTGAACAGAGACCCAATTTCTCAGCTTCAGGGATAAACCATCTATACCTGTTAAGGCCAGTTTATCTGCAGACATCTGGAGAATTCACTTCCCCAAAAGCAATGAGTGTAAAATGTTCGCAGAGCAGGGACGCAGCGGAGGGAGACAACACAGCTGGAGTAGGGCAGCCGCAGTTTTCACAGTGTCTAGCTCACATCATGGAGAACCAGAGGAGAACCCCCTCTGGCTGCCAGAGTCAGAGAAACTGCAGGCTTCAGCATCTGTCCCTGGAGCAGCCCTCAGTGCTCCTGCTGGTCACCTCACCGTCCAGATGAGGACGCAAGTGTAATCTTTGTTAGTTGAACCAATGGAATCGATGGATATTTTACACATATCTGTGTCTCCATGTTTTAGTGATGAGATACAATCCATAATCCCTCAAAGTCCTAAAAGACCCTAAAACTCCCATTTACAAGGTTGTATCTGTTAGAAACACATATGTGTTTATATATGTACATGTATGTACATATTTTATATACGTGTAAATATATGTGTAAGTATGTATATGTATGTATATATTTTATATATGTATGTATATGTGTGTATACATACATACATAAAAATATATTTACACACATATATAAAATTTTGAGATGTTTTAATGCCACTAAAAATCACATCCCCACCCTAGGGYGTTACAAAGGTATTGATTAAGAAGCCACCTCTAGGCCTTTAATGTAAACATCATTTGCGCCCTGTATTCAAGGCTAAGCTCTTGTAGCTCACCCATATAAGGATATTTTTTTACATTGACCCTAATTATCAAAAGAAGTGGTGGGGGGTTGGGATTGTGGCTCAGAGGAAAAGCGCTCACCTAGCATGCGTGAGGCCCTGAGTTCGATCCTCAGCACCACATAAAAATTAAATAAAGGTATTGTGTCCACCTACAACTAAAGAAAAAATATATTAAAAAAAAAAAGAAGAAGAAGAAGTGGTGGGGTAGGAAGAGCTTTGCTAAAGAAATGTTTAGTTAGGACTATGTGGGTAACAAATAAGAAGAATCAAATGTGATAAAGTTAAAAGTAAAGAAATGGAGGCTGGGATTGTGGCTCAGTGGCAGAATGCTTGCTCGCTTGTGTGAGGCACTGGGTTTGATTCTCAGCACTGCATATTAATAAATTTAAAAAAGGTCCATTGACAACTAAAAAATAAATAAAATAAAATAAAAATTTAAAAAGTAAAGAATTGGAGATAAAGGTACAGGTGCACCTCTCTCTGGAGTTTCCAGGCAGGGCCTTCAAAGCAAACTACCAAGAGAACTAGGGACCTAGAGAAGACCACTTTCTCCTCTTGTCACAAACCTCCAAAGTGGCTAAAAGAGAAGCACTGATAGCCATCAGTCTGATATGCAGATGCTAATTCACATTAAGGGGGTGGGGGCTAGGGAAGAATAGAATTACTTTAGATTAAGTACAGCAGAGTGAAGGGAGGGGGAAGGAGTTTGGGGGTAGGAAGGACAGTAGAATGAATCAGACATAATTATCCTATGTACATATATAACTACAGGATAGGTGGGATTCCACATCATGTATAACCAGAAGAATGAGAAATTACACTCCATTATATATGACATATCAAAGTGCATTCTACTCTCATGTACAATTAATTTAAACAAATTTAAAAAAAATTTTAAATCTCAAATCCAAATTCAGAAGGGATTATTAGCTTTACAACTTCAGTCAAGGTGCTGGGCAGTGAACGATCATCCAAAGCTGAGGAGTAGAACTGAGGAAGTCTGGGTCACCTTGTATAACTAAGGCTGCTCCCAATACAGCTAGCAGGTGGGTCTTTGCTGTTGTTTTGGAACAGAGGATTGAACCTGAAGGCACCTTACCTTTGAGAGACATCCCCAGACAGGTTCTGGATGGACTCCAA